GAGCAACAGCGAAAAGAGTTGGGTGAAAAGTCTGTTTCTTTTTAATGAGTAGTAGGTGAAATGTGTGTTTCATTAAAGTAGTAGTATTTCTATTTTATTTTAGTATATGGTATGTGATTGCCTGAACATAAGGTCGTTGATAACGCTTAAGTATTTCAAGTTTTGTTTTTAATTAATTCTATAGAGAAGAAAATGTAGAATATTGAATACTCCACAAAATAAACTTCTTATCATAACTAACAACAATTTAAGTTTCTCCCATGGGGACGGCCCTGAGTCTATGCTAGGTTGCATCTGTTATATTGTTAGAGAATTGGTTGACTGTTAGAGAGTAAGTTAAACAGTTATTATGCTGTTATGCAGTTAAAGTTGAGAAGGCGACCGGTTGCCCCCCTTAGTCCTTCGAACACGGAGAACCTACTTCAAAATGACAGGTTGCCAGAAGACAATGACCGGTCAACCCCCTAGGTTCTTTGAACATGAAAAACCTGCTTCAAAAATACCGGTCGTCAGTGGAAAACGATCAGTCGTCTCCACGCTGTCAAAATCATGATGAGGAAATTGAACCGTTTTATGAGATTTTGATAAGAGGATTTGAGGAATTTAGATTTGAGGAATTTAAATATGAGGAATTTGATTTAGGGTTTGGGTTTGAATATGAGAAATTTGAAAAGGTGTAAAATACCTCTCTATTAAGGGTTCGTTCACCATCAGTATCTTGAACCATTTTCTCTAGCTAATAGAGGAGACTTAGCTAACTCTAGAACAAAATAAAAACTATTTTTTCCACCATTTTTTAATGAATAATAACCTATTTTTCACACATATTTTGTAAATATACCTATTCTGTGTACCTATAACATACCTATTTTTAATTTATGAAAGATGTGTAGAAATTTCAATTACGTACCTATTTTCTGACCCAAAAAAAAACTTTTCTTTTTTTTGGTAAATAATAAACCTATTTTTAATTTATAAAAACATTTACAGAAATTTCAATTACAAAATAATGGATCTTTTTTTTGTTCTTTAAATAAAGTACCTATATTATGTACATATTTATATTTTTCATAGGTATATTATTTATTGGATATGTAATTTAGGGATTTTTTTGTTTGTTTACTTTAGGGATTGGCGATGTGTAAAGGGAATGCCAACCAAAATAAATGGGGTGATTGATATGGTATTAATAGGGAGTATTACTTATAATTAAGGTAGTAAATGACATACTTAAAAATAAAATATGAAGATAGATGGCATATAATGAATTTAATTAATAATACTAGGTCAACTCTATCTCATATGACAACCTATTTTAAATTTAGATTTTCAGTAAAAATTTAAATGTAAGGAACTATATCGGAAGAACTCAATAATAAATAAGAAGAAGAAGAAACCCAAAATAACTTGCTTCCTCGACTTCAATCTTGCTGGGCTACGATATTGAGCTTCAAATGTCCATAGAAAAGGACCAGAGGGCTCGGATATGTCGGCCCTCAACAACACCTCAGGCCCATCGGCTACTTGAATTCACTGCAAGCACGGCACGCCCTGCTGAAAATTCTTCGAAGGCCTCGCCGCATTTGTTTCCGAGAAAACGCACCTAGTTGCATTATGATATTGTTATTATGTTTGGCGCGTGAATTAATTAAAAGGCAAAAGCATACTACCACTTTTTGAGTAGAAGAAAAGCAACATGCCATTATTCGCTCGGCAGAGCAAAGGCATCTCTGTGGATAATGCCAAAAAACATCATGACATGCTTTGGTTATTACTTTAATCAAATCTTAATTATATATATATCTCTTTGAAAAAAAAGCTGTCGAGATCTCGATTTGGTTAGAACACACTCCAGTGCACGCGTAGCTCCCATCTAAATTTTTTTTCTCCTTTCTCAGTCACATGTAATTCACGTGAGGTTTAATAAGAAAGAGTTGAGCAGGTCTTCAGGTCGCAAGCATTTTTTGTTCTTTCCTCCAAGGTACCTCCCTCCTGATATGGGGTTTCATTGAAAATAGTAATTTTATTTGCATTATTATTATTAAGGCTTTAATATATTTATACACTTGTCTGTTGTAAATTGTCCCAATATGCACTAAAGTCAAAAGTTTATCAAGTGGTGTTTTTTGATAGTATCCATCACGTGAAGTGATAATTACACCAAGCTTTCTTTTAAAATAAAAACTATCGTTATATGGGCTGCTTTCTGCTGGAACAGATAAAGAATATCTCTTTTTCTGCAACCTTTACTGATTTCAAGAAACAGTACTAAGACTACAAGCCGTTGGATTAATCCAACGGGTGATATGTGTTTGCCGCTCAGAGTCCCTCAAAATTTGGTCCTCAGGTGAGCACCTCCTGCTACTTTTCAAAGCTGGCACTGATTGGGGACAGATAGGGCGGAGACTTGGTTGACTTCTGCCCTTCTGCTACTTCCTATATGAACGGAACTGAGACTTCTCCATTGCTAAGATTATTTTTTTCAATCTAAAAAAACAGAAGAAAAGGAAAAGCTTCTAATATGGCCGAAGGTATTGTTTCAATAGTGCTCGAAGGGCTCAGCAACCCTATCATTCAGGAATTGAAATCCTTGAAATCCGTGGGTGGTAAGGTTCAGAGTGCACAAACCCAGCTACAATTCATGCAAGCCTACTTGAAAGATGCAGACGCAAGCCAGGGACGCAATGAATCAATACGCATTTGGGTGGCAAGTGTCAGAGATGCTGCTTATGATCTTGAGGATGTCATTGAAACTTATGTCTTAAAAGTGGCTTTCAAGAGGAAACCAAATGTTTTGACATGGTTTATTGGCATCTTCATAAAAGGAGTTAATCTTCATCGGATTGGCTCAGACATTGAGAAAATTACAACCAAAATTTCACAGTTGAGTTTGAACCTACTTCAAAATGACAGGTTGCCAGAAGACAATGACCGGTCAACCCCCTAGGTTCTTTGAACATGAAAAACCTGCTTCAAAAATACCGGTCGTCAGTGGAAAACGATCAGTCGTCTCCACGCTGTCAAAATCATGATGAGGAAATTGAACCGTTTTATGAGATTTTGATAAGAGGATTTGAGGAATTTAGATTTGAGGAATTTAAATATGAGGAATTTGATTTAGGGTTTGGGTTTGAATATGAGAAATTTGAAAAGGTGTAAAATACCTCTCTATTAAGGGTTCGTTCACCATCAGTATCTTGAACCATTTTCTCTAGCTAATAGAGGAGACTTAGCTAACTCTAGAACAAAATAAAAACTATTTTTTCCACCATTTTTTAATGAATAATAACCTATTTTTCACACATATTTTGTAAATATACCTATTCTGTGTACCTATAACATACCTATTTTTAATTTATGAAAGATGTGTAGAAATTTCAATTACGTACCTATTTTCTGACCCAAAAAAAAACTTTTCTTTTTTTTGGTAAATAATAAACCTATTTTTAATTTATAAAAACATTTACAGAAATTTCAATTACAAAATAATGGATCTTTTTTTTGTTCTTTAAATAAAGTACCTATATTATGTACATATTTATATTTTTCATAGGTATATTATTTATTGGATATGTAATTTAGGGATTTTTTTGTTTGTTTACTTTAGGGATTGGCGATGTGTAAAGGGAATGCCAACCAAAATAAATGGGGTGATTGATATGGTATTAATAGGGAGTATTACTTATAATTAAGGTAGTAAATGACATACTTAAAAATAAAATATGAAGATAGATGGCATATAATGAATTTAATTAATAATACTAGGTCAACTCTATCTCATATGACAACCTATTTTAAATTTAGATTTTCAGTAAAAATTTAAATGTAAGGAACTATATCGGAAGAACTCAATAATAAATAAGAAGAAGAAGAAACCCAAAATAACTTGCTTCCTCGACTTCAATCTTGCTGGGCTACGATATTGAGCTTCAAATGTCCATAGAAAAGGACCAGAGGGCTCGGATATGTCGGCCCTCAACAACACCTCAGGCCCATCGGCTACTTGAATTCACTGCAAGCACGGCACGCCCTGCTGAAAATTCTTCGAAGGCCTCGCCGCATTTGTTTCCGAGAAAACGCACCTAGTTGCATTATGATATTGTTATTATGTTTGGCGCGTGAATTAATTAAAAGGCAAAAGCATACTACCACTTTTTGAGTAGAAGAAAAGCAACATGCCATTATTCGCTCGGCAGAGCAAAGGCATCTCTGTGGATAATGCCAAAAAACATCATGACATGCTTTGGTTATTACTTTAATCAAATCTTAATTATATATATATCTCTTTGAAAAAAAAGCTGTCGAGATCTCGATTTGGTTAGAACACACTCCAGTGCACGCGTAGCTCCCATCTAAATTTTTTTTCTCCTTTCTCAGTCACATGTAATTCACGTGAGGTTTAATAAGAAAGAGTTGAGCAGGTCTTCAGGTCGCAAGCATTTTTTGTTCTTTCCTCCAAGGTACCTCCCTCCTGATATGGGGTTTCATTGAAAATAGTAATTTTATTTGCATTATTATTATTAAGGCTTTAATATATTTATACACTTGTCTGTTGTAAATTGTCCCAATATGCACTAAAGTCAAAAGTTTATCAAGTGGTGTTTTTTGATAGTATCCATCACGTGAAGTGATAATTACACCAAGCTTTCTTTTAAAATAAAAACTATCGTTATATGGGCTGCTTTCTGCTGGAACAGATAAAGAATATCTCTTTTTCTGCAACCTTTACTGATTTCAAGAAACAGTACTAAGACTACAAGCCGTTGGATTAATCCAACGGGTGATATGTGTTTGCCGCTCAGAGTCCCTCAAAATTTGGTCCTCAGGTGAGCACCTCCTGCTACTTTTCAAAGCTGGCACTGATTGGGGACAGATAGGGCGGAGACTTGGTTGACTTCTGCCCTTCTGCTACTTCCTATATGAACGGAACTGAGACTTCTCCATTGCTAAGATTATTTTTTTCAATCTAAAAAAACAGAAGAAAAGGAAAAGCTTCTAATATGGCCGAAGGTATTGTTTCAATAGTGCTCGAAGGGCTCAGCAACCCTATCATTCAGGAATTGAAATCCTTGAAATCCGTGGGTGGTAAGGTTCAGAGTGCACAAACCCAGCTACAATTCATGCAAGCCTACTTGAAAGATGCAGACGCAAGCCAGGGACGAAATGAAGCAATACGCATTTGGGTGGCAAGAGTCAGAGATGCTGCTTATGATCTTGAGGATGTCATTGAAACTTACGTCTTAAAAGTGGCTTTCAAGAGGAAACCAAATCTTTTGACAAGGGTTACTGGCATCTTCATAAGAGGAGTTAATCTGTATCAGATTGGCTCAGACATTGAGAAAATTACAACCGAAATTTCAGAGTTGAGATCGAGTCTGCCAGGTGACCTAAGGGAGAGTGGAGGTGACACTTATTTTTTAGTATCTAGTGCACCGATCTAATTAGGAAATCATAACAGAGGATGCCATTGAAACTTATGTCTTAAAAGTGGCTTTCAAGAGGAAACCAAATGTTTTGACATGGTTTATTGGCATCTTCATAAAAGGAGTTAATCTTCATCGGATTGGCTCAGACATTGAGAAAATTACAACCAAAATTTCACAGTTGAGTTTGATTATGCCAAGTTTTAACCTACACCAAACAAGGGAGAGTGGAGGTGACACTTTTTTTCAGAGGCAACAGGAACGGAGGATAGCTTATCCTCATATTGTCGACCCTCATGTGGTTGGGTTAGCCCCTGGAACAGAGATATTGGCTACGCATTTGATCAAAGAAAAAGGCCCCCGAGTTGTTTCTATTTGGGGGATGGGCGGGTTGGGTAAAACCACTCTTGCAAAACAAGTGTATCATCATGGTGATATTAAGCGTCATTTCGATTGTTTTGCCTGGGTGTGTATTTCTCAACAATGCCAAGCACGGGAAGTTTTGGAAGAAATTCTGACTAAACTCATTTCTCCTACCAATGAGGAAAGAAAAAAAATTGCAAAAATGAAGATTGATGAAATAGCAGAGAAACTTTGGAATACGCAAAGATATAGGAAATGTTTGGTGGTGCTTGATGACATTTGGACCAGTGATGCGTGGAGCTCTTTGCAAGCTGGATTTCCAATGAATGAGGAAACTGGGAGCCGAATTTTACTCACTACTCGCAACAAAGAAGTCGCTTCGTATGCGGACAAAAATGGTTTCCTCTTCGAACTACAGTCATTGAATGATGATGAAAGCTGGGAACTGTTTGAAAAGATAGCAATGTTTGGACCGGAAGATACAAGTATGTTCTCACACAAACCTTTTATCTCTACTTTTCTTGTTTATCAATTCAGTGTGTCAACTAACTTTTTCTTTCTCATTCTAAGAAAATTCTACTATAGAATATTCAAAACTTTTGCACTACGCCTCTACATGAAGATACCAATTTTATTATCACAATATTTATATTCAGAAAATTTACTCAAATCAAAACCTATACTCTAGAAATTTCTTTTCTTCAATAGAAAGAAAGTGTAGCTAACAACGAATCTCTCACTTAATATCCAAATAAATCAGGGCTCACATAACGGACCAACACAAATCAAAGTTGTAGCCCAAAGAAAAATCAGAAACTAATGGGATAATTTGTTTTGTATACTTTTTGTCAATTGAGCACATGTATCTGATCTTAATATTGTTTCTCAGACCATAAAATTTATGAACATAAGAAAGAGCTAGGAAGGGAGATGCTTCAACGTTGCAAAGGTTTGCCACTAGCCATCAAGGTGCTTGCAGGACTGGAACAGAGATATTGGCTACGCATTTGATCAAAGAAAAAGGCCCCCGAGTTGTTTCTATTTGGGGGATGGGCGGGTTGGGTAAAACCACTCTTGCAAAACAAGTGTATCATCATGGTGATATTAAGCGTCATTTCGATTGTTTTGCCTGGGTGTGTATTTCTCAACAATGCCAAGCACGGGAAGTTTTGGAAGAAATTCTGACTAAACTCATTTCTCCTACCAATGAGGAAAGAAAAAAAATTGCAAAAATGAAGATTGATGAAATAGCAGAGAAACTTTGGAATACGCAAAGATATAGGAAATGTTTGGTGGTGCTTGATGACATTTGGACCAGTGATGCGTGGAGCTCTTTGCAAGCTGGATTTCCAATGAATGAGGAAACTGGGAGCCGAATTTTACTCACTACTCGCAACAAAGAAGTCGCTTCGTATGCGGACAAAAATGGTTTCCTCTTCGAACTACAGTCATTGAATGATGATGAAAGCTGGGAACTGTTTGAAAAGATAGCAATGTTTGGACCGGAAGATACAAGTATGTTCTCACACAAACCTTTTATCTCTACTTTTCTTGTTTATCAATTCAGTGTGTCAACTAACTTTTTCTTTCTCATTCTAAGAAAATTCTACTATAGAATATTCAAAACTTTTGCACTACGCCTCTACATGAAGATACCAATTTTATTATCACAATATTTATATTCAGAAAATTTACTCAAATCAAAACCTATACTCTAGAAATTTCTTTTCTTCAATAGAAAGAAAGTGTAGCTAACAACGAATCTCTCACTCACTTAATATCCAAATAAATCAGGGCTCACATAACGGACCAACACAAATCAAAGTTGTAGCCCAAAGAAAAATCAGAAACTAATGGGATAATTTGTTTTGTATACTTTTTGTCAATTGAGCACATGTATCTGATCTTAATATTGTTTCTCAGACCATAAAATTTATGAACATAAGAAAGAGCTAGGAAGGGAGATGCTTCAACGTTGCAAAGGTTTGCCACTAGCCATCAAGGTGCTTGCAGGACTTCTTGCTAGAAAAGACACAGTTGATGAGTGGAATACGGTGCATAAGAATGTTTATGCATATATAAGGAGAGGCACAGACCTTGGGCCCGATTACAAAGGTGAAGGATATGAAGGGGTATCATGGGTATTGGAATTGAGTTACGATAACTTACCTTATTACTTAAAACTATGTTTTCTCTACTTAGCCCATTTTCTGGAAGATTATGAAATACCGGTGAGTACATTGACTAAACTATGGATGGCGGAAGGTTTTATATCATCGGCATCAGTGGAAGTAATGGAAGATGTATCATATATGTGCTTAAGTGAGTTAGTGGGCAGGTGTATGGTTCAAGTTGGAAAACAGGGTTCGAATAAGAAGATCAAGACTTGTCATCTCCACGATCTTATGCGAGACTTATGCATGTTAAAGGCAAAAGAGGGAAACCTACTCCATATTATCAATTATTCTGCAGATGTGGAGATCAAGCAAACACCAAACGGTAGAGTTCGAAGACTTGCCATCTATTTGGACAAAAAAGTTGATATATATGGTCTGGGAAAAGATGAAAATTATGGACATGTTAGGTCTTTGTTATTTTCTGCCTCAATATACTTCATGAACTCAAAGGTATTACAGTCACCATTAAAGAACTTCACATTACTTAGAGTTTTGAAGTTTGAAGGTATACGTAGTGGAGTGTTCAAGTTACCGCATGAAATTGGGAATCTAGTGCACTTAAGGTTTTTAAGTGTAAAGGATAGTAATTTTCACGCGTTGCCATCATCTATAGCAAATCTGGTATGTTTGCAGACTCTAGATTTACGTAGCATTGATCGGGATTTTAAAATTCCAAATGGAAACATGTTTTCCAAGATGGAAAAATTGAGACATATATATTTACCCAGATATCACAGTGCAAGACGTCTGTTATTTGCTACTGAGGCAGTGAATATGCACACAGTAGTTAATATTTGTATTCAGGCATCATCTGATCTAGATGATTTTGTTAAACTAATCAACCTTAGAAAATTGGGGGTTAACATATTTGACGGAGGGGACAAAAAGGAGAAAGGGACAAACATCATATTTAAGCATCTCCACTCTCTATCGGTTGGCTCGGGATGGTTTGAACCAATACCATGGAACATAGTATTAAGCTGTCCTAATATATACAAGCTGCGACTATACGGAGTAATCAGAGAGTTACCAAAAGAACTCATGTGCCATGAGAAACTCACCAAGCTTACACTGATAAATTTTGGTAATCTCGAGGACGACCACATAAAAGTATTAGAGAAGCTACCAAGCTTGAGAATGCTTTTTGCTAGGTTCGGTTATTTTCCAGCACTTCTTGTTTGCTCAAAGGGAGGCTTTCCATTACTCGAATTTCTTTCTCTTGCTAAGTTGACGGCGTTAAAAGAATGGAAGGTGGAGAAAGGAGCCATGCCTCGTCTATGCAGATTGCACATTGAGGAGTGCTTAGATTTGAAGGCAGTTCCTGATGGGCTCCAATATATTACTACCCTCAAGGAATTAACCATCAATGAGATGCGTTCTGAATTCTGTAGCCGGCTTGGGGACGGAGGAGAGGATTTTTACAAAATCCAACATGTGCAGTCTGTTATTATAACAAATATTTGGGCATAAGAAGATTCGGAATAAAATGGTATGCTAAATTTTGTTTTTCTTTATGTTTTTCTCTTTCCTTTTTTATTTTTTCAAGGGAAAAATAAGTAATTGTTTCTCTCCTTTTTCCATTTGAAGGGAAAAAGAGTTGAGGGCCGAGCAACAGCAAAAAGAGTCGGGTGAAAAAAAGGTGAAAAGTGTGTTTTATTAAAGTAGTAGTATTTCTATTTTATTTTAATATAAAGAGTTTATTTTTATATCTCATGTAAAAAAGCTGATTGATTGGACTATCATTTTCCTGGCAATCAATTCCCCGTTTACTTGCAACTTCGATTGTATACATATTTGTTATAACAAGAGCCTCTCTTATTATGTTAAATAAATTTAAACTAATTTTGAATTGGGTTACTCTAGCAGTTGCACTATTTTCAACACATTTTCGAATACATTACACTTACACCAATTGTGTGTGTGTGTGTTTATTTTTATTTTTTGAGAAACAGCAATAAAAACCATATCTATTTATTGTATCATAAGCTTCTACATTTAGTATTCATACATTTATACGTATTTAGAGAAATTTTAACCAGTTGATTAATCTAATGAATTGAATTATTCCACGTCATCATAATTACATTAAATTAAAACTCTCCTATTGTACCTTATCACTCACCGGTTACTCATCTTTAACGAGTTCAATATTATTTTTAATGCAGTTTCCCGGACTCCTAATGCAAAGCAAAGCCAGGGAACGTTAACCATTCGAATATCTTTTGGCCAATTCTTTGGCTCTTTTCTTTTTTTCATTTTATTCCTGGTTTTTTTTTCTTTTTTGAATTATAATGTTGTATGTGATTCTCTTTCGTTTGTATCTGGGACTCACTCTATACTCTTCTTGGGTTTTAAATTTAATTTAATTATATTGCAAGTTGAATGTGCAGAGACTAAAACTAGAAAATATATAATATAATTAGGCTTTTTATCACAAATGGTCCTTCAGATTTACAAAATTATCACGAATTGTCTTTCAGGTTTTTTTGTGACACTAATAGTCCTTCAGGTTATCATCTACCCATCAAAATGGTCCTTCCGGTTAATTTCCGTCAAAACTAACGTTAAAAAATCACTGACCATTCGTCCAAACCCAACCCTCATAACTCTGTCCCTCCATTTCCTCCTGGGTCCTTCCATTTTGGCGCCCCAGTATATAACCAATCCTGAAAAGTAAATTCTAAAGAAATTGAAACAATCCAAGCTCAAGAGAAAGACCAAGAATGAAGAACTCCAGAAAAAGACTAAATTCATGCTTATGGATCAATATGGAATATAGAAGAAGTCCTACAAATTCATTATCAATGGCACATCAAATTTCTGTTTGAATGGTATGCTAAATATTGTTTTTCTCTTTTCTTATTTATTTTTTCAAGGAAAAAAGAAGTAATTGTTTATCTCCTCTTTCCAGTTGAAGGGAAAACTTGAAGGGAAAAAGAGTTGGGGGCCGAGCAACAACGAAAAAGGTTTGGGTGAAATGTTTGTTTCTTTTTAATTAGTAGTAGGTGAAATGTGTGTTTCATTAAAGTAGTAGTATTTCTATTTTATTTTAGTATATGGTTTGTGATTGCCTGAACATAAGGTCGTTGATAACGCTTAAGTATTTCAAGTTTTGTTTTTAATTAATTCTATAGAGAAGAAAATGTAGACTATTGAATACTCCACAAAATAAACTTCTTATCATAACTAACAACAATTTAAGTTTCTCCCATGGGGACGGCCCTGAGTCTATGCTAGGTTGCATCTGTTATATTGTTAGAGAATTGGTTGACTGTTAGAGAGTAAGTTAAACAATTATTATGCAGTTAAAGTTGAGAAGGTTAGTTGCATCAACGCTAAAGCATGTACATAAACGGACTTCTCCAGTTGTAAGATTGTTTCAATCCACTAAAGCAAGTGCTATATGGGAAAAGAGAGAGACGGGGTATTTGTGGAAACATGTATTTCCCGCCCAATAGAATAATTAAACGTGTATATGAATGGTACCCGAAAGTAAATGCATGTCCTCTGAGTCTCATCTTGGGTTCACCTTGAAAGGACATGCATGGGCCAATACACAGTTAATCACTCCCAGCAGAAGGAAATTTTCTCCCTTGCAACAACCCAAGATTCGAGTCCTGACACCAAATTTTCAATATTTAGCATTTTGAATTTCTGAATAACCTAAAGGGGTCTATTATTAGGGGCATTGACAAATCAGTCCAGATTCAAGGTCCAAAGAACAAAAGAGCTGCAGGTCTGAAAAAGTGGAAAAATCGGTCCACATACGCAATGAGTATTGTATGTCAGCATTAAATATGCACTCTATTTACATCAAACCCTGCCATATTCTTTTCCTTTTTAGTATATATATGCATTCTTAGCACTAGTGTTATAGATAAATACTATACTATTTAATTTCTATAAACAAATCCAAAAAAATGAGATATTTAGTTATATATCCATTCTTAACATTAGTGATATAGATAAATCCTATACCATTTAATTTTTATAAACAAACCCAAAAATTGACAACTGGCCCTGTTGAATTTAATTTTGATTATTAAATTACTTTGATGTCTTATTGAGTGTTTTGGGTTTCTATATGAGGTTTTGGGGTTGAACTTGTTTTAAGAAATCGATAGCAGTTTTGTAATTTATAAAAAATTCGAAGTCTCTTTGTTATGTTGTAAATAGGTTTTAGTTGTGTTTCTAAAATACATTTCATGTTGGGTTTTTTAATAATTTGGGCCCCTATATTGGATATAATAGTCAATCTTCCAAAACAAAACTTATTGGATATAATAGTCAATATAATGGAATATATATATATAAAGCAAAAGGCAGAGAATGGTGAAACATTCAAAATACCAGAAAATACCCTTGGTTAATACAAACATTAAGAATTGAAATTATTAATTAAATGAGGATAATATGGTAAATTCACACTTTTCATATTTAAAAAATTAAAATTAAAAGAAAATTCAGATAATGAATCCTATTTTTATGGAACACAACTACCCATTATCTTTTTTTAATTCTAAAATAAATTTAAATTTTAAAAAAAAAAACCTCTCGCAAGCGCGGAAGCGCGTGCGGAGAGGCTAGTATATTATAATAGATGTTTTTTGGGTATTGAGTTTTGCCATATCAAGTGCAAGTTCTCTAAATTAGGCATCACAATTTAACATTTTCTTATGAAATAAAGGTTTTTTTTTTTTTTTTGGAGCTTTAGACTTTTAAATATTGGCCCTCCCTTAAAAAAAAAGTTTGGATCCGCCACTGTTTGTGTAGTAGAAGATTAATTACTGCACCAGCATCAATCATTACTTTGGCAATTGATACTCCTCAGGAAAACAGATAAACACCTCCTTAAAAAAAGTAATTTTTTTTGGTCAAACACTAAATAAAGTTTACTTCCATAAGAACAAAAAAAAATTGGTCCTGTCGTAACGAGTTCTTATCCAGTTGAAAATGACATTCACTTGCATGAGTGTTCTTAGGTAAACCTTCCCTCTACAATTGCAACTACAAAAAGTAAAACCAACAAGGAGAGACTACAGATATCCAACAAACTCAACCAAAAAAAGAGTTGATGTGCAGAGGTAGAGAGAGGAGGCTAGGGAAAGGTCTTGGATGGTAAGGAAGGGAGGGAAGGGGAGGAGGAGATGGATGGACGGTGGCTGAAACTCTTCTCTCTTAGAGTGTTAGAAAGGGAGAAATCACACAATTTCATGACATCGTGGCATGGTTTTGGAGAAGTAACGTTAGCTGTTATATGCTATTGGATTTATTACATGTATTAGAATTGTTTGTTTAGTAAATAAGTATGTTCATTTCAATTACACAGTGGCTCAGCAAAATGGAGTTAGGATGAGATAGGGAATGGTATGGGTGCCGAACTGATGAGACCGGTCGGTTCAAACCGTAATTATCGGCCATGAGTAGTTTACTCAGTCAATGTAAAATTAAGTAGTTCGTGTTTGTACTTTAATATGGATGATACCTAAATATTTTTTTTTTTAAAAAGACTAATAAACTAATTAACAAAGAGAGTCGGCAGGGTGCGGAAATCACAAGGTGCAATAAAACAAAAGAATAGATGATTCATATGAGTCATCAGATTGGGACTTTAATTATAGAAGTTAATTTGGGAATCAGCCAAGGGTAGAAGAGACTTCATCATACATAAAGCGGAAGAAAGCAGATTTAATTTCATCAATCCAAAGAAAGAGAAGAGAAGGCAAAACAAGAAAGAAAAAGAAAAGGAGCTGGTTTAATTGTTTTCTTTTGGAGAAAATCATGGCTGAGGTTGTTGTTACAATTGTTGCAGAAGGCATTTGGTTCACCCTTGCTCAACTTCCTATATATAAATGGAAAATAATGTTTCCTTTAAAAAATGGAAAAATAAAAATGCAAAATCCAATGGTTGGAAACCACCTCTTTTCAATTTTTTTAAAAATTAACTTTAATGGGGTGTTTGGATTGGTCAGGTCTTTGGTGTGCTCCCAAAGTAGAGAAACCATAAACCCTAAAGTTATCCGTCGTGTCATTATGTTACTGGTCGGGAATAGCAAAACAATGATATCCTCGTTACAAGTAAGTTTTTTGCCTCCTAAGAGAAACTCTCATGCAACATGAATAATACTTTTCGCTATCTCCAACCAATAACACAATGACACACCAGATAACTTTACCACATGTCATTATGTTACTGGTCAGGAATAGCAAAACAATGATATCCCCATTACAAATAAGTTTTTTTCCTCCCAAAAGGTCATGGGTTCAAGTTCCTATAATATCGGTGCGTGTGATGACCACATTGAAAGCTGGCATAGAATACTTTTGTACAACTTGCATATGATAAAGATCTACTTTGAAAGCTGGCATTGATTGGTGGTAAGATCAGAATAACATGGGACAGGGTAGGGCGGAGGAGACTTCTCCACTGGTAAGTTTCTAGGCAATTGAAAATGTCAGGATTTAAGTTCTTGTGTGATCATCAATTCCTTATGGACAATTATTGGATCTTAGTGACATCATGTAGTTCTTGCTTAATAAAATGATAGTTGTGGAAATCTTTTTTCTCTTTTTATCACACATACATGTGAAAAAAACAGAGTCAGACAAGAAAATAAAAAACCCAAAGGAAAAATATTGCATCAACCTCTATTTTCTTTATGTCACTGTCAACCAATGACATACTCGTGACTTAGAAAAACTAGACATGACCCCATTCGGTTCACGGAATAAATTTAAAGGGAAATCATTTTCCATGTTATTTTTCAAGGGATGGGAAATGATAGACTCATTTCCCATGTTTGGTAATGCTGGGAAAGTAACCGAGAGATATCACTTTATTTACTTTCCCATGTTTGTTTTAAGTAGAAATGGAAAACAAAGTTTGTATAATTTTCCAATTATACCTATATTAAATCAAATAAAATAGAATGCATTTAATAAGATATTGTAATTCTAAATTTTTGATGCGGACAAATTGAGTAGTTCGTGTTTGTACTTTAATATGGATGATACCTTAATATTTAACAAAAAAAGACTAATAAACTAATTAACAAAGAGAGTCGGCAGGGTGCGGAAATCACAAGGTGCAATAAAACAAAAGAGTAGATGATTCATATGACTCATCAGATTGGGACTTTAATTATAGAAGTTGAAGCAGATTTAATTTCATCAATCCAAAGAAAGGAAAGAGAAGACAAAACAAGAAAGAAAAAGAAAAGGAGCTAGTTTAATTGTTTTCTTTTGGAGAAAATCATGGCTGAGGCTGTTGTTACAATTGTTGCAGAAGGGATCAAGCCCCTCGGAGACTACATCATTCAGCAGGCGAATTTTTTCGGTGGAGT